AAAGCAACTTAAGAGGACTTAAGCAGCTCAGCACACAGTTGGAGGTCACAGCACGTCATGGTGGGGAAGTCTAGGCAGTAAGAGCCTGAGCAGCTGGTCACATTGTACCCACTCCAGGAGGCAGAGAGTGATGAATGATGGTGGTATCCTTGATCTCTTCATCCTGCAGCAGATATTCTATTTTATTTTTTATAAATTTTATTGATTTTTTTGTTTTTTGTTTTTCAAGACAGGGTTTCTCTGAGTAGCTTTGGAGCCTGTCCTGGATCTCACTCTGTAGCCCAGGCTGGCCTCAAACTCACAGAGATCCACCTGTCTCTGCCTCCCGAGTACTGGGATTAAAGGTGTGCACCTGGCCTGAATTTTTATAGAGCATATCTTGTTCATATTCTTTCCCCTCTCCCAGCTCCTCCCAGCTCCTTCCTACCTCCATATCCAACCAACTTCATATTCTTTCTCTCTCAAAAAACAAAACAGCAAGGAAAAAAACCAAAACATAAAAACATAAAATCAAAACCAAACCAAAACAACAATAAAAAAGGAAAACGGATAAACTAAAAAACTTAACAAAATAAAAACATAGAATTCATCTTGTGTTGGCCAACTATGCAGGGGCGTGGGACCTGCCCTGGAGTGTGGTTGATTCACCCTTGAACATTCCATTGGAGGTAACAGATTTTTCCCTCTCCCAGCATGAATTAATTGCAAATAGCTTCTTGGTTAGAGGTGGGTCTTTGTGTCCCTTTCCCTGTCTCAGTGCCAGCATTTTGTCTGGTTTGAACCTGTGCAGGTTTTATGAATGCTGTCACAGTCTCCATGCATTCATGTTTTGTCTGGAAGATCTTGTTTGCTATGAGTCATGCCCCACCTCTGGCTCGTAGAGGTTTTCCATTTCCTCCTCTGCATAGAGCCCTTACCTTAGCCTTGAGATGAGGGGTTTAATAAAGGTATCTTATTTAGGGCCGAGTGTTCCAGAGTCTATGACTCTGCAGAGTGTCCAGTTGTGGGTCTCTCTGTTAATTCCCATCTATTGCAGGAATAAACTCTCTGATGAGGGTGGAGTGATGCTCCATGGGCATGGCAATATGTCATTTGGAGTCATTTTATCGCTGTTTCTTTGGCAGAATAATAGTAATAAGTTTTCCTCTAGGCCCATGACCTATCTAGTCTTGGGTTTGGGGCCTCTTGAGTAGTGTTATGTATGCCTTCCATCTCATAGAGTGGGCTTTTAAATGTAATAAAAAAAAAAGTGGTTGTAGAAAGAAAAGTTTATCTGAGGAATCAAACTGCTAGACTGTCTGGGCAGGAGGGCTGTGTGTGGACAGAACAGGAAAAGCCTTGTCAGTTTTAAGGAGACAGGGAAGGAGAGGTGTGGGCCAGAAAAGCCTGGGAATCGGTGCAAGGTTAGTCTGGAGCTAGATGCTCTTGCCAGAGGCTGGGTTAGGGAACAGTGGCTTTCCCATGAAACAGACCTGCCGAATGCTGAGTTTATTTCCCCATTCTTTTTTACTCCATAACAATCTGTTTACCGGGTCCAGTCAGAGCCCTTCTGCTTAGGACATTATCACCAGCACTGCCATTTTGGGGGCCCCACTTTGGATCCGACAATAACGTTTGTACCACTGCTTCACCGGTGTATCTTGCAGACAGGTTGCTGTTGTAGTCACAGTTTCATAGCTGGGAGCTACTGCTGATCACCTTTCTCCTCTGGTAGCACAGAGTACCTTCCAACACCATGCATGCTAGTCTGTAGGGATGACGCTTCAGCTGGGCACTAGCTCGATTTCTCCATGTTTGATGACATAAGCTGTGTCTTCAGCAATATGACCCTACCATCAGGTTATGGAGAGACATGAATAGCCTTGGCAACAGCCTGTGATGTTTGGAAATCCATGGGACCCCTTTGGTCAACAGCTCAACAAGCTATATAACCTATTCCTGGCCCTGGAGGCTTTGCTTGGTGGCATAAGATGTCTAGTTGGGCATTGTCTCCCCCATTATATGGTGATTCCATGTGTGCTCTACTCATACGTGTATATATTTTAGGAAGTTTCTATAGTAGTAGGTTTCCACGTGGCCTTTCACGTGGCCTTTAGTGTTATTTGTCCCTCCCCATACCCCCCCCACACACTTCACTTCCCATCCCGTCCCCAGTTAATCCTATTGTGCTTGCCCTTTGTCTCTTTATAATACTATACTCTATTTCTTCTTCCCTGGAAGATCTGCTTCTTCTCCCTGGTCCTTTACAAGCTACCTACCCTCTGTGATTATTCACCGGAACAAATATTTACAGCTTAAAAACTAGCATCCACATCCAGGAGAAAACATTTGACATTTGTCGTTGTGGATCTGAGTTACCTCACTCATGATGATTGTTTCTAGCTCCGTCCATTTACCTGCACATTTCATTTCCTTAACAGTTGAGTACTTTTCTTTGTATAAATGTACCATTCATCAGTTAATTGATGGACATCTAGGCTGTTTCCAATTCCTGGCTATCATGAATAGAGCAGCAATGAACATGGATGTAGGTCCTTTGGGCATATGCCCAAGAGGGCTAGAGCTGGATCTTTAAGTAAACCAATTTTCAGCTTTTGGAAGACCCCCACCCCCATCCCCCCACCCCCACCCCACACCCCCCTCTAGCCATGTGATTGACATACCCAACTAGTTAACTCTTTAGGGAGGGGTCAGTAGTATTTAAAGTTCTAATCTTTGGGGCAGATCAGAATTTTCTTCTCCACTCTGGTTGAAAGTTGAGCTTAGATTCAATCTTTGCTGGAGGAAGTAGTTTTCCTATAAAAAGGGCCCTCAACAGAGTTCTGATGTCTCCACCTTTGCATACGGAAAGGAAATTTCAAATCCTAAATAGTGGTAGCTGTGAAACTTCCTTTCTAGTTTTACCTGGGAAACAGCAGGTGCGGTGCCAAGCTGAGCAGGGGGTAGGAATCCACCCTCTATGGCCCCCAAGACAAGCTGCTCTCTGTCCAGCTCCTTAATAGCAGACTTTGAAACCAGGTGGGTTTTAACTGCCTTCTCCCCACAATGCAAGGCCAGATTCCCATTTCAAGATCAGCTAGGTCAACCCAGTGCCTGTAGGCTGACATTGACCAAGAATCCCTAGGATCGCAGTGTACCTTAGTAACAATGAACAAATATGCCTCAATATTAAAAAAAAAAAAGTTAAGGAAAAATACACATAAGAGAAACTCTTCAGGCTGTTGGAACAGGTGGGGCTTTCCAACTTGGTGCCAGAGATTGGGTGGAGGGGACTAAAGCTGTCCTACTCTCCCATTTCCTGTATTAAACCCAGAACTATTTCTAACCCCCCTTAGCGCCTCTTTCTAAGGTTGCTACCGAGGTCCTGTTACGCCCAGATCATGGGGACCCCCAAAAGACCACCATGGAGACTGAATCCTGCATGTAAAAGCAAAGAGCTTTTATTTCAAGCTTGGAACTTGGTCCCTCTGTCTGTCCCACACAGCGGTGAGAACAGAGAGCCCTGAACTCAGGTGGGGCAGGGTTTTTATCATAGCAGAGGTTGGGGTGAGGGGATTTCCAGGGTCCAGGAGGCTGACAATTGTCTAGGGGTATATGTAAAACAAAAATAGGTGTGTGTTAAACTTAAGGACATCTGGCCACCTTATCTAATGGTTGGAATGTTTGGGATGTCAGGTACTTCCTCACCCCTGGGTAGATCCCTGGGTGGTATCAGCTTAAGGCTTTTCCTGGATCTGGGTGTTGCCTGCCCGGAAGCCTGTCACAGAAGCTGTGTCTAGGCCCCAAAGCTTGTCATGGCTGCTGTGTGGTCAAGCTATTTTGGGGCCCCTTCACAGTCCACTGCCAGAAAAATGCCCAAGTAGTATGCCCGGGAGCTCATCATTTTTAATGATGTGTCCTGGGTGCAGGCACTCAGAGGCCAACGGTATGGGATCCCTGGAGCTGGGGGTGGTTGTAAGGACATGGGTGCTAGGAATCAAACTCTTAACCCCTGAGCCATCATTCCAGCCCCTAGTTTTTGTTTATCTCGGAGACAGGGTCTCACTGTAGCTCGGGTTTGTCCAGAACTCGCAGCAACCTTATCTTTCATCAGCCTCTCAAGTGCTAGGGTTAAAAGGGACAGCCACCACGCTAGCAGGGACGCTGTCTTGCCTGAACCAGATAAACCGCATAAAGATTGCTTCCGAGGCTGCCAGCAGGGTAGCTAGATCAGAGGCTCTGCGTGGAAAAGCGGATTCACGTTCTGAGGTCAGCAACTGTAGATCGGTGGCAGGTCAAAGCCCAGACACAAATGCAGGTCCCCACCTGCAAACCCTGGTCCTTTACCCGCCCAGTCCCAGAGAAAGCCATTGTGATGTAAATGTGTCGCAGAGGAGTCCCGGGTCTTGCCCTGAAGAGTTCTTGAGTCAAACGCCAGTGCTTCTGGGCCCTCGATGCGCTTGCCCAGCCCCGCGTGACTGCACGCACCCACGACACGGAGATGCTGCAGCGTCTGCGCTCCTCCCTGTGCCGGGTGCTCGTCAGTGGCTCTCCGTTCGGACCTCCAGCGCCCGCCACGCCGAACAGCGGCCCCGGGCTCGCGGGATTCGCTGTGCACCACGTGTCGCCGCCGCGCCACGCATTCCCACGCGTCCGCAGCTTCGTCATGGCCTGCTTGCCCCGGGGAACTGCAACCCTGGCCCGCCAGGTACCCGCATGGCGAAGGGCGAGGGGCGCCAGGACCAGCATCCCGCGGGCGACTCGTTCGGCGGTCACGGCGGAAGGGGTCACGAGGCTCGGGGGTTCACCACGGAGGATGCAGGACTGGGAGACTCGGGGTTGCGGCGGGGATGGAGATGATTCATGGATGCTCGGGGGTCGCCACCGGGGACTCAGGGACTGCTAGTGTCTCCAGAGAATTCTGGGGCCATCCCGGGGGTCTCCACTGGGGACACTACTGGGGACTGAGGGGGGTCACTGTGGGGCTTCAGGGATAGCCACTAGGGAAGCTAGTGGGACTTGGGGAAACTCATGGTTCTCCACTGGAGACGCAGGAGTCGTCATTAGAGATGTTGGGGTCACAATCGGGGACGGGGAGAACTTGAGGGTCGCTACAGGGACTTGGGCATCACCAGGGATAGCGGGGATGTCACCAGGGATGCGGGTGTCACAGCCTGGGAAACTGGAAGATGAGGGAAAGCCGTCCCCACCCGAAAATCCCACCTCAGCCTCTGCAGGCTTGGACCCCTTCCCTCCTTCCTAGCTGTTTAGCAAATTAGCGACCAGCTTTTGAATGCTTGCCGCTTTCCCTAGTTAATTCCGAACTGCGGTATCTTTCATTTATTTAATTGCCACCAGTATCAAGAGGTTTTGTCCTTCAAGTGTGAGGTTTTGGCCGCGCCGAAGCACCGGGGACCCTGCGGGTGGAGAAAATGGTTCCAGCCAGTCCGCGCTCTCTCACACTCGAGGCAGCCTGCCTATTGTGCGCCTGTGATTGACAAGACCACGAGGCTGAGCGCTCTCGGGAATTTTTTTTTTTCCTCTATAAATGGCTTAAACCCTCGGTCTAGACGACTCATTCGGACATTCGGGAGACAATTGCTTTCTTGTTCATTGCGGGTGAACCCTGGCTCCGGGGCTGACCTGGAATTTAAGGAGCCCCTCCCTAAACTACTAGAAGATAAGCCAGACCTGGGGCGGGTTGGGAGACTGGGACATCACTCCAGCTGGAGCTGACACCGGGTGCTGGACGGTCCAGGCTCGGCTTTTCTGTTTTCTGTGATGGTGAGTCCCTCAATCAGGTCCCTGTGATGACCCACCTAACTTTGCTTAATGGAGGTTTAATTATTTTTATTTTTAAGGACTGCAGTAATGGATGCGCGGTGCCCTTTGCTGGAGAACGAGGATCAGAAGTGGCTGAGACTTTTAGGGTAAGGCGTCTGCGGGATTGGTTAAGTTAGAGGTAATGCATTTCAGGTTGAGATTGGGGGTTGGGGAATTTTAACTGTGTAAGTTTACACAGATTTCTTGAATTTTAAATTACAGCTGGGGAGGGAAAAAGTCATTCGAGATTATTACCAGTCAGCAAAACAAAATTTACCTAGCAGTAAGTTGCTTCTTTTATTTTATGACTCAGACATTTTATTGGGAAAGAGTCAATTGATGAATAGGAACCTGAGTTGTTGTTTTTTTTTTTCTTAATTGTATCAGCTAAACCCTTCACCCTGCTTGTCCAAGAAAATGCACTGCGTCTTCTCTCCTTAAAAATCCTACAGTCCAGGATTGCATTTTCTTTCCACCTGAATTGTGTGGTTTATGTATGACATGGCCTCATGCTTCGCAGGGGAGTTGTTGAAGGGACAGAGATAAAGATCTTGTCAGAGTACCTGACAACCCTTTATCCTCATCCGCCAGCCCCCAGCATGGAGCGGTTTGCAGATCTCCACGGTGCTTGACTCTGCCACTTTGCTGGCTCTGATGCGCGTTGCCAATTGTCATCCATAGTACAGACTGTCCTGTGACCTCATATCCTGGCAGAGTTCAGAGAGGGGCTTAGTCCCACAGGGGACACTCGGGTGTGGGGACAGTGCTGGGGAATGCTGAATTCAAGATAAGCCCTCTGCTCACAACTGTTTTGTTTTAAACCAAAATATAGTATAATATGCTACAGTGAGCTGCTGTGGATTTTGTCTGTGTGATTTCTGGTGCACTGAAGTGATTCCCCAGTAGCCCTAAGCAATAGGCTTAGCTGCTAATCCTTCTAGACTGCTCGGTAGTTTCCAAGAGGCTGTAGTCGGTGTGTGTGGGGCTCAGTTCTTTCACAAGTGCTTGTCTAGAATTCCATCCCCAGCACCTCCCAGGACTCAGCTATCATACATGAAAGGCTAGGGATCATTCTGGCTGTCCTGGAACTCCGTGTAAACCAGACTGGCCATGGGTTCTTGCTAAGCTTTATAAGACAAAGGTTCAGTGAGTCAATTTCTCAAAAGAAATTATTATATGTTTTTCAATTGAAAGGACTTTATGCTTTTTTATACAAAGTATTCAGTGCACAATAGAGTTCATAGTGAAAATAATGTATTTGTTAACTGAAGTTTGTGTGCAGCTTGGTTGTGTGTGCTGATGCCCACCTACTCTGCTTGTGCTCTTGGCGTGGCTTGAGACAGTATTGATCATCTGATGGGTTTTATTGAAAGCTCAGTGCTGGCTGTTGAACCCAGGGTCCTTGCACATACTAAGCCAAGAGCCTCTGTTCCTGAGTCATACCCTTAGCTTGGATCTCCGCTTCTGACGATTTTCTGTCTGTGGTCCAGGTCTTTCACAGATCCTTTCTTATTTTTATTGTCTCTTTCCCACTGTGATGGGGTCCCGTCAAAGTGAGGGTGATGTTTTCTAGCTGGGCCCAGAAAGCAGTCATCTTATTTATTTACTTATTTATTAATTATTGTAGGAGGGCACCATGGTGCGCGTGTGGGTGTCAGCGGGCAACTTGGAAGGGTTGTTTCTCCCCTTCCCCGCCATGACTTGAGTGTTCTAGAAAGAGCACAGGTATGTGCAGTGTGCGCCTTTGCCCTCAGCCACCTTACAGGCCTTTTTTCTCAGTTTTTTTCCCTAAAGATTTGTTTTTAATTATGTGTGTGCGTGCGTGCGTGCGTGCAGTAAGTTTGTGCACATCTTTGTGAGTGCCCCTGGAGACTAGCTGCATTGAATCCTCTGGAACTGTAGTGACAGATGACTTGTGAGCCTCTTGACATGGTGATGGGAATCGAACCTGGGTCCTGGAAGAGCAGCCTGCACTCCAGCTGGTGAGCCACATCTCCAGCTCCCTTTAGCTCATTCTTTTAAAGAACTGTATTTATTGCCTCTGAGTTTTGCTGTGGACACCAGGGTCCTCTGAAAGAAATGAGCTCTCGGCATCTTACAGTCCCCCGATTGGCCCCGAAGCTGTAGCATCCCTTCTTCAGACCTCAGTAGGTTCTCAGAGAGGACCCATAGAGAAGCACTGAGCAGACCAGGCAGTCTTTCTCAGTGGAGCAGAAAGCTGCAGGCGCTCATGCAGAGCCTCGTTCCTTCCAGTGCTGATTGACGTAGTCTGAGCATTGGATATGTTTGTTTTTGTATCCAGTGCAGAGAAGAACGGCTGGGCTGGGCAAGGAAAGTGTCCAGGTGCTTCCTCATCGTAGATATCAAATCGGAAGATTGTTTTCCTTTTTTTTAATTGAAAATATTTTTATATGTTTTGTTTACTTACTTTGTATATGTGTGTGGGTCCGTGCATGTGCAAATCAGAGAACAACTTGAAGGCATTGGCTCTCCCCTTCAACCACGTTCCAGGTACTGAAGTTAGGTCACCAGGCTTGGAGGCGAAGTACCTTTACCCACTGAACCAGACAGATGTCCCGGAAACTTGTTTTTTCTTACTGTCTCCCAGTTAGCATGCTTTCCTTTAGCCTTCCAGTGCCCTTGATATAAAACGTCACTGAACAAAAACTGGTTGGTTGGTCCTCTCCCCCTTCTTCGTTCTGAGACAGGGTCTCACCTTGTAGCCCAGGCTGGCCTTGAACTCATAGGGATCCACCTGCTTTAGCCTTTCAAACACTGGGATTAAAGGCGTGTACCAGCCCATCTGACATTTAAAGAAAAAAAATCAATTTATTTTTGCTTTGTGTGTATGAGAGTTTCCCTCTGTGTGTATGTGTGTGTGTGTGTGTGTGTGTGTACCACATGCATGTCTGGTGTCCACATAGACCTGACTAGCATTACAGCATTACAGAGCACTGTAAGCTGTCATGTGGGTGCTGTGGTCTTAACTGCTAAGCCATGTCTGCAGGCCTCACCCCCACCTCCCTGTGCCCCCAGCCTTTGCCTTTAATTCCAGCACTCAGAACATAGAGGCCAGTGCATCTCTGAGCTCAAGGCCAGCTAGGGCTGTATAGCGAGACCCTGTCTCAAAAAACCCTTGTCCAAACAAACAAACAAACAAACAAACAAATAAATAAAGTAAAACAACAACAACAACAAACCCCTTGATTTCCAGAATTGCAGAAAGGAATTTAAAGTTCTTGGTGAAATTTTGTGTTACTTAGAAAACAACCGGATCCAGGGCGTTCTTTATGTTCAAATCCGGATGAGAGGGCTGGGAGTCAGAGAAGATGCTGTGGTCCATACAAATGGAAATAAGGCTGGACATTTTATCATTTAGAATTTCTGCCAGTATTCGGAAGTTGGAATTCGAACACTGGTTTTAACCTCTTTCTGGTTTATTTATGTGTCTGTGTGGATGCTGCCGTGTGTGCAGTGTCTTCAGAGACCAGAAGAAGATGGCAGACGGTCCTGGGGCTGAAGTTAATGCTTGTCTGCAAGCTTCCCGACCATGCTAGGAGCTGAACTCTGAAATAGCAGCAAGCACTCTTCACCTCTGAGCTGTCTCTTTGGTCCTAGAAGAAACACGAATTTGAACATAAATGTACTCTCTGTGTCAGCTTAGCAGTTTCGCACTCTAGCGCTTTGGTCTAGCCTGGGCTGACTGGGTGGTCCCATTTCTGTTTTTCTTCTTTTTGCAATGCTGAGTGTTGAGCCCAGGATTTTAAACACAGTAGGCAAAGTGCTGTACCCTGAGCTACAAGCCCAGCTCTGGAAGCATTTTAGGCAAAGGATTCAGAACTGGTACAACTATATAAACTAAACCAGGGTCATCTTAACCTGGGGGTTTGAACTTTGATCCTCTTACTTCACAGCAAGTGTTTTTTTTTCTTCCACTGAGCTTCTCCATTTTCCAACTGTGAAAAAATTTAAAAGCTATAAGCTAGATCACATTTCAAAATGGACCTAGAACCTCCAAGTGGCCTTGGGGCTCAGTTTGTTCAAAGTTTCAAACATGATTTTTAGCTGGGCAAAGTGCAGACCACAAACTATCTCCGGCTGATCTCCCAGACTTGAGGGCCTGGGCCTAGAAAATCACTGGAATGGAGGTAGGGAAGGCCAGCAGGACAGAACTTAGCATTGCCCAGATTCTTTTACCTACATTTCCTTAAGTGCTTCTCACCCTAGCTGAGCTTGCTTGTTCAACTGACAAAACCACCAGGAAATACATACAGGACAGTCTTGCCTCTGTAGGCATCCCTGGTGATGGTCCCTCCCACAGGCTGATGCTTGCAGTAGTGTGGTGAGTGGGGCTTACCTTGCCTGATGAGCTGACAGCAAACTACATTCCCGGGAAGGAGGTAGCCAAGGCTGCAGTCGCAGCAAACAGCCAGAGGTCTCTGAGAGCTGGAATGTGGTTGGTGTATAGGGGCCTAGTTGTCTGTCTTGGTCCATCCCTTGCCTGGTTTTCCTAACTGCGACAGCTGTAGGACCTCTGTGACTCTTTCCCCTTTCCCTTCTCTCATTCCTCCCTGTATTCCTTCCTGCCTCAGGGTCTTTGCTATGTCCTGCTTGGACCATCTGCCTGAAATACTTTAATCCTAGGTCTATAGACATCCTGCCTTCTCTCTGCACTCAGGGCAGCTCAGCCACACTGACAGGCCTCTGCAAAGCAAAGACCAACGTTCCCTTCTCTGCCTCTTCTCCTGAGTTACTTTAATTCTTCATAGCGTTAATCACCTTTTGATCTAGTCTTTTGGTTATTTATTATCTTAACTTTGCTAGCAGAACAAGGACTTGATGTATCTAATGACCCATGGCATTATAGGCACAGAGTAGCTCAAAAATACTAGGTTGGAGGTTTGGATAATCCTGTGCTAACCTGTGTGTCTGTCGATGACTGGTGACGTTCTTCAGGAAGCAAGGGCTGGACCTCAAGCAGGCTTGATACATTTGTGCACTCCCTGAGCCACAGTGCCTCTGCAGCTAATGCTTAAAATAAAATTCAGAACACTAAGAATAATGATAGTGAGGAACAGAGCTAGAGGAAAAAGGAAAAATGAGCACATTCAGTTTTGATGAGGCAAATTATCCTAACTCAGATGGTCATTGAAAGTGAAAGTAAAGTTTATTTTTTATGCTTGAGGACAATTTTACTAAAGTTCAAGAGAAAAACAGCAGGGTAGACAAGCTATACATTTTGGTAGCTGCCTGGAGGAGGTGGGTGGGTAAGAGGAGGAGAGGAAGTCTTGCTGAAGAACCATGCACATTCTTGATTCTCACTTAAAAAGAAAGTCAGGGCCATGGATGCCTCAGTGGGTGAAAATGATTGCTCTGTCAGCCTGACACCGTTTGATCCCTGGAGCCCATGTTGGAAAGAGAGAACCAACTCCCAACCAAAAGTTGTCCTCTGACCTCCACACAGATGTTGTGGTGTGCCTACACACACACTTAGCATGTGTATCTATACAGGATAATAAATAATATTGTAAAACGCCAATGCCATTTGACTTTGCAGTGTTTGAGGTCTGTCTGGAACTTCAGCCTGTCCTGTTCTGTGTCTTCCTGTGAGAAATGTTGATGATACTCTCTTTGTCACAGACTGTGGATGGGGTTGGGTGTGTAGCCCAGTTGGTAGAGTTCTTGCCTAGTGAGCACTAATTAGACCTGGGGTGATGTGCACACCAGTAGCTTCTCAGGAGGCAGAGGCAGGATGATCCTTAGCTAAGGAGAGTTTATAAGCCACCTGAGCGTCAAGAGAGTCGGACAGCCTCACCCCTCCAGAACTTTCTCTCTGGAGTTTTGTTGTTGTTTTGTTTTATTTTTGTTTTTGTTTTCTACTGTTCTATAGTTGTTCTCAAGGATCAGAACTGTGGCGACTTTGGCCATTTGTGATGCTCAAACTGGCTTTGTGGAGAGTGGCTGAGAGCAGTTGTTTCTGTGTCCCTGAATAGGAGGGCTTTTGTTCACGATCTTGTCCTCCCGGAACAGAGAGGGCTTGTATCTGAGGCTCCATTCTCTGCTGGTCCATCTTCAAAGAGGAGAGCGCTCTGCCGCACTCATCTCTGCCCTGTGCATCTGGAGGAGTCGGAGGCTTGTGCCTGGAATGCTCTGGGGAGATGGTGTGCAGCCATGGGGAGCAGTGGCTCAATCCTTAAGGGTCCTCCTGCCACTGTGAGCAGGCCTGTGTTTCCTGGAGGAGGCCCCTCCTTTCTGAAACGTTTTGCTGGAGTCTGGTGGGAGTGGGAGCAGACCCTCCCCTCAGTCCTGCGTCTTTTCCCCACACCTATCATGCTGGCACATCCCTGAGGTCTGCTTCTCATGACTTTATAGCCAAAGTCATTGCAGAGATTTGTTTGTGAGTTAGTCTTGTTATGTATGTAACCTTGGCTGGCCTGGTACTTGCCATGCAGTCCAGACTGGCCTCACATATGTGTCTCTCCCCCTTCAGCCTCCAAAGTGCTGGGATGACAGGTGTACACTGCCACACTATTGCGGGGATTTTTGATTTTTATAAAAAATACATTTTTAGATTTGTTCATTTTGTTTTATGCATGTTTTACATTCATGTATGTGCGTGCATGCATTGTGTACATGCTTGGTACATACGGAGGTCAGCAGACAGCATCTGATCCTCAGGAACTTTGGATTTATGAATGGTTGGGAACCACTATGTGGGTGCTGGGAATTGAACTTGGATCCTCTGCAAAGAAACAAGATAGCTCCCTACCCCCACAGCCATCTCTCCAGCTCCAAGACTATTGTTTTGTTTTAAATTTTTTTTATTGCAGTAATTTATTGTGTGGGGGGAGGGGGTGAGGGTGAGAATGCGTGTGCCACGGTGCTTATGTCAGGGTCAGAGGACAACTTGTGGGAGTTGGTTCTTCTTCTCCCATGTGGGTCCCGGGGATCAAGTTCAGGTGGTCAGGCTTGGCGGCAAGCCCCTTTACTTGCTAAGCCCTCTTGACAGCCCTGATGCAGAGATTTTAGATAATTGGCTGAACTCTGAGCACAGGTTTGGTGTATTTGGTTCTCACAAGTGTTATGGTGTTACGTTTGGGTTGTTGTTTGAGACTTGCTTTGTTTTTTAGACAAGGTTGGTGAACTTCTGAACCTTCTGCCTCCACGTCTTTAGTGGTGCTGGGGGTTAAACCCAGGGCTTCATGAATGCTGGGCAAGCGCTCCACCAACTGAAGCATGTCCTCAGACCCCCCAGTGTTAAATTCTATGCTAGTTGCAAACATCAAGGGATGCCTTTCACATTTGGACCTTTGGACCATTTGGCCAGTGTGGTGTGGTTCTGATCATTTCTCCTTCCCATCCTCCTTTTTCTCCCACAGGCCAAAGACCTTGTCATTACATCAGCCACTGTCTTGAAGGAAAAGCCAGACCCCGACTCTCTGGTGTTTGGAGCCACGTTCACCGACCACATGCTGACGGTGGAGTGGTCCTTGGCATCTGGATGGGAGAAACCTCACATTAAGCCTTTTGAAAACTTGTCTATACATCCTGCTGCCTCAGTTTTACACTATGGTGTGGAAGTAAGTGCTCGAGAGCTGCTGGGGCTGGGATTCTCCTCCTGGCAACCTTCTCTGGGCTGGGAAAGGCTCTGCTGTCTTTACTGAAGGTTGCCATAGATGTCTTCAGATTTCTCCTGCAGCCACACAGATTGAAGACTAAGAACGAACTTCACAGACTGTCTTGGTTTATCTGTGGTGCTAGTTTAAAGAATGTATCTGTATATATGTATATATATATATGTATATTTATATATACACACATACATACATATATATACGTATATGTGTGTATACACATACACACACACACACACACACACACACACACACACATATATATATATATATATATATATATATATATATATATATAAACTTAGATCGCATAGGAAGGATAGTTACGAAAATTAGAAGTCCAAGAGCCCACAACAAGCCAGGTGTGGTGGCCACGCCTGCAATTTCAGCATTTGGCAAGCTAAGCAGGGTGTCTGACAGAAGGTTCAAGGCTAGCCTAGACTACTCAGTTCATTCCAGGCTGGCCCAGGTGGGTCATAGAATGACACCTCAAGGAACCCCAAAGCCATGAGTATTTTGTTAAGTTCCCTCTTTTTCTTAGATGGTTGAGGGATTGAGAAAGGTCATAGGATGAGATGCCCATGCTCACTGCTGTCATATCACCAGCCTGTGGTTTGCCTAGGACGGGGTGGGGTTGAATGTGCTCCTTCATGCTGGAGTGTTTGGAGAATCCACTTCCTGGCAGATACATAGTTAATCACATCTGCAGAACACTGCCCCATTCCCCCGGCCCTACATTTCATTTTATGGGATAGCTCTTCCCAGCATATTGAAGGTGCTAGAGATCTACCAAGGGATTGAAAAAGGACCATAGGAAAAAATATCAATAGCTATGATAAAATAACCATTTCTGAATATTGAATTCCAATGCTGTGCTTTTTAGAGATCTTGTACTTTATAGATCATTCTTATTGAATTATTTGTGTGTAGAGCTCAGATTTCCCACCTTACCTTGGAATCCACTCATTTAATGATCTGAAGTAAGAAGCATGTGCATCAGTGTTCAGGGCTGGAGAGAGGACTCCGTGGTTAGGAGCACTTTCTGCTCTTGCAGAGGACCAGAGTTCAGTCCTCAGCACCCATTTTAGGCAGCTCACAACTCAATCTCCAAGGAGATCAAATGCCCTCTTCATGCCTCTGGGCACACACACACACACACACACACACACACACACACACACACACACACAAACAGACATGGACATACGTACAAAAAAGGAATCTTAAAAAAAACAAATGTTTCAAATTAAATTGAGGGTCTAGAGGCGGACAGGGATGGGGCTCAAGTTCTGTCTCAGGTGCTCCTGGAGGGTTATGGAACTTGGGAAGTACAATCATTTATGATTTAATACTTTTGTTTAAGTTGGGTACTGATATTACCTTCAAATTTTTTTCATTACATTTATTTTTTGTGTGTGGGGGCATTCCATGTCTACATGTGGACATCAGAGGACAACTCGTGGGAACTGGCTGTCTTTTCTAAGTGGGTGTCCTCGAACTTAGGTTGTGAGACTTAGCAGCAAGGCCCTTCACTTGATGAGCCTTCTCGCCCACTCTGTAGAGGAGGATCTGTGTTCTTAAAAGTGTAAAATCAGGTAGTGCACTCAAGGCTGTAGAGCAGTGGTGCTCACCTTCTAAGGCTGCAGCCCTTTAATACAGTCCTCATGTCACCCCACCCCAAAACAGAATGATCTTGTTGCTATTTCATAACTAATTCTGCTACAGTTATGAATCATAATGTAAGTATCTGACGTACAGGATATCTGATATTTGACCCCTGTGAAAGGGTCACTCAACCCCCGAAGGGTTTCCACCCCCAGGTTGAGAACCACGGCGGTAGAGCCCTTCCTGGTGCCAAGGGAAAATGCATGTGATGACCTATTCTATGCAGTTCCATACTTTAGAGTGAGTGACTTAAGCATACAGCAAGCACAAAGTCAGCATGAATAGCAGCTCCAAAGACTCGGCAGACAGATAGCAAAGCATGCTCAGGTTGGGGCGCTCATAGCATCTGGAAGAGACAGCCTGGGTAGCCCCAATGAGAAAGCAAAAGTCTTGTCATTAAACTGGTGCTCACAGCACCCTGTAAAAGGGACTGGGGGTGTCTATGTTCAGACACCCTGAGTGCTACAGAGCTGGTCTGATCATGGGGAACTCAACAGGGTTGGGAGACACGGCCTGGGGGCCTGCTGGAGTTCCCAGCTGAAAGCAGGCTGATCTGTCCTTGAACCAGCTTCTGGCTTCAGATTCCCACCACAGACATTTTTGAACGTGGGATAAATAGTGGTACTGTTTTACTTTCCAGCTCTTCTCAAGGACACAGTGTTCTTTGCTGTTTTCTTTGCTCTCCATCACAGGGTGAGGGTGTGTCCGCTCCAGGTTTGGAGGACACTTGGGGTAAACACCCTTGGGTCTGAAGTGAGAGGGGCCAGCCTTGCTTGGAGAGTGAGCTACTTAGTGAGCTCAGAAGCAGGCTGCTGCCCTTTACCGCTAGTGTCCACTGCATGACCCCTGACCCAGTAGGGTCCTCTGTTCCAGAGGCCATCAAAGCAAATCCCTGGCACCTGTTGTTTTGTTTAAAGATGGGTCTCCTGTAGCCTAGGCTGGCTTCCAGCTTATAGTATAGCTGAAGTTGGCCTTGAACTCCCAATTCTGCCTCTACCTCCCAGGTGCTAGGATTACAGGTGTGTACCACCCACTAGGTGGAGCGGGTCTTAGTTTCTCTCCAGCTGACTCCTAGTTGATGCGCTGGGCTGAGTTCATAGGCTGTTTATGCCAAGCCCTTTGCCTTACATGGTGGGCGAACTGACCATTTTCCTTCAAAAAAGGTTGCCGGTAACCTGGTGGCTTCTAGGACCCTGATTCTCAGACTTAACACTCAGAATTACAGTGGGTTTCTGATTTCCATTCATTTTTGAAGCTATGTAACCTAAATGCACAGGCACCACAGCCTGAGGACTGCTGGCCTGCAGGAAGCGAATTAGGAAAAATTAAGGTCGTTTTTGAAGTTTAAAGATTTGGGGTTTTGAAGTAGATCAACTGAAATTCCAGCTTGACTTTTTTATATTATTATTATTATCATCGGTGGCAGGCTGGCTTCCAACTCATAGCAATCCTCCTGCTTCAGCCTCCCAAATGCCAGGATTGCAGTTAAAAAATAACAGGTCTGGGGATGTAGCTCAGTGTTCAAGCACTTACCTCACGTGAACAAAGCGCTGTGTTCCTCCTCTAGCCTGAAAACATGAGCGAAATTAGAGTTATTCTGTCAGAGTAAAGGCCACAACCTTTTCCGTTTTATTGTGACCTAATAAAAACAGAGCACTTCTTTATGAGGCTTCGTAGCTAGACTAAGTTACCAGAAGTGTCTTCATTAAGACCTAGTGTGGACCTGACATTACTTGGGTGACTGAGAATCCGAGACTAGATAACCCAGGGACCTAGGGTAAAACCAAATGCTACTGTTCTAAAAAAAAAATGTAGCAATAAAATGACTCATCCTTAGAGAAGCTTCCTCTTGCAGCAGATGGGAATAAATACAGAGACTCAAGGCAGACATTATGTAGAGAGTGAGAGACCTTGGAACACTCAGCCCTAAATGGAATGTCTCCATCAAATCCCCTCAGAGCTCAGGGGACAACCAGCCCCGCCCTCCCCCTCCCTCTCCTCACTCCACCACCTTCCACCGCGCCCCCTCTGGAAAGGAGGCAGAAGGGTATAAGAGGGGATGGAGGAGCCCAGGAGAACAAGGCCCTCTAAATCAGTTGAACAAAGCTCATATGAACTCACAGAGTCTGAACAGCACGCACAGGTCTGCACAGGTCTGCACAGGTCTGCACAGGTCTGCACCAGCTCCTCTGTGTCTATATTTTGGCTTCCAGTTTAGTGTTTTTATGAGATTCCTGAGGGTGTGAACACGTGGGTCCCTGAATCTTGCGCCTTTATTTGGGCTGTTTTCCTTCTGTTGATTTTGTCCAGTTTTGATGTGTTGCTTTTTGTTTTATCTTGTTGTGTTTTATTGTTATCACTTGGAAGCCTGTTTTCTAATGAGAGACAGAAAGGGAGCTGAGGTGAGGGGGAATTGGGAAGCGTAGGAGGACGAGAAACAATCAGGATATATTATGTGATAAAAAAAAAATCTATTTTCAAAAAAAGAAAAAAAAACTAGGTTGAGGGTGGGGATGCAGCTCAGTGTAAATGCTCCTCTGTCGTCACACAAGAAGCTCTGGGTTTGAGCACCACACACTCTTGTGTGTGAATACCCACACTGCCTGTGCAGGTGGTCCCGACCAGCCTTGGTGGAGACACGGTGAGGGGCCACTGAAGCAGACAGAGGCTCAGGGCCACTGGGCAGGGGGTGCTGGGAAAGTGTATATTTGGATTCGATCTAGAAAGGAAGTTTGTGGTCCGGGTGTGCATGGCCCTTGGCCTTTTGCCTACTTGCCCAGCTGTGGAGTGTAGTTACTGGGGTCTGAGGGCAGCAGGGGTTCATTTACAAGTCCCTGAAGCAGTAGTTTTCCATGGAGTGCCCTTGTCCAGGCTTTCGAGTGAGTCTTTGTTCTCCTGGGAATGTTCTTGTGCATGGAGGCAGGTGTGTGATGTGTGAAACAGCACTGGCCCAAAGGCAGTAAGAGGTAAGGTTATTCTGAGTCAACAGTGGCCATGGCCTGGGCACATGGAATCAAGTTGCCCTGAATGACATGGCCCACCATGGAAGAGGCTACATGAACCTTTTATAGTCACAGAACAAGTCATCAGTCAGGGCACAAACAGAATGTACTGCTGGGGACATTAGTCAGCACACTTATAAAATGTACTGATTGGGACATCGGGGAGCAGGTTCGAGAAGTCCTGCCATCCGATGATGTTCTCAGCCTCTGGTTTATGATCTCTTGATAGTCAAAAGAATGTGAAGTTAGAACACAAGTGGGTAATTGATGGCTATGGAGATTGAAGATAACGCAGCGTGGTTTGGGCTCTGGATCTACAACATTCCAACTCTCCACAGTTATGGAATGTTCTGAGGAATCTTCAGCTTTATGTCTGTTTTTCAGAGAACTTCAGTTCACAAATCTTTCCTTCTCCTCCTTCTTCTTCTCCTCCTCCTCCTCCTCCTCCTCCTCCTCCTCCTCCTTCTTCTTCTTCTTCTTCTTCTTCTTCTTCCTCCTCCTCTCTTTCTCCCCCCACCCCCGTGTGTGTGTGTGTGTGTGTGTGTGTGTGAGAGAGAGAGAGAGAGAGAGAGAGAGAGAGAGAGAGAGAGAGAGAGAGAGAGAGACCTTTCCTGTCACTCTTTAGACACTTTCTCCCTTGCTCTCTAATACAAGGACTCATTGACTTGGGACTAAGTAGATTCGGCTGACTGTCCAGCAAGCCCTGGAGATCTGTCTGTCCCTCGAGCTGGGATTACAAGTCTGAACCACCATGCCTGGTTTTGATTACGTGGATTCTGGGACTTGAACTCAGGTCCTCATGCTTACTTGTGTGTATCTATGTGTGTGTGTGTGTGTGCGTGTGCGTGTGCGTGCGCATGCGTGTTTGTGTGTGTGTGTGTGTGTGTGTGTATGTGTGTGTGTGTGTGTGTGTGTGGTGCCATGACGCACCTGTGGAGGTCAGAGGACAATCCACAGGAGTCAGTTTTCTCCTCACATAGATTCCCGGGTTTGAACTCAGGTCATGGAGGCAATCATCTTTATCTGTTGAGCCATTTTGCCTGCTCATCATTATTTTATTGATCATCAGTTCTCCAGCAAGCGTCATTTTAGTATTTAGTATGACGAAGCAGCTACTCCACAGCACTCCACGGCTTACTTTGGTGTGCTCTAGTACTGCAGCCTTAGGGGAAGCAATCTCACCTTGGCCAGGAATTTGTGAGTCAAACTAGTCACATTTTTTCCAGGGACACCGTTTTTACTTGAAAGGACATGCTATAATGACTCTGATTTGGGCATTTGGCAGATGGTCCCTTGAAGAAGAAACTAAACGGCTCTGCCATTTCAGTTGCAGTGATGAACATTTGTTACCAGTGATTACCTTCTTGCTGGAGGGATTAGTGGAATCTGGAGGGCTAGTGATGTAGGCAGTTGGTAGAGTAGATACTTGCATGTACACAGTCCTGGGATCAATACTTGGTACCGAGAGAAAGAGGAAGAGGGCCCAGAGAGATGGCCCAGTGGTTAAAAGTACTTCTGCCTGTGGAGAAGACCCGGGTTCATGACTGCTCACAATCACCTCTACCCTTGTTCCAAGGAACCAGACACCCTTTTCTGGCCTCTGAACACACTAGGCAGACACACTCATATACATTAAAATAAATTGAAAAGAGGAAGGAAAAGAAAGAGAAATAGAATTTTCTGTCAGGTTGACCACTCTGAGCTCTTAGCAGGCTGTTGAAGGCTGACCCACCTAACTCTCTCAGTCACTGGTTTTTCCAAACCACTGAACATTACAGATTTATAATAAAGATACTGTAAGGGCGAGGACTCCTCTGAGGGCGTCTTGATGTGCCAGATTAACCTAAACAAGTCCCTGGATTTATCTTCATTTCCTTCTGGTGAGATGGGACTTTCAGGGTGTTCCATCATGAGCCTGGAGGGTAGCGGGAGGCGGTGGTTACCCTGTTATGGGTGCACACCTTCAGTTGTTCAGTCCCCTGTAAAGTTGGGACTGTCAGGAAGAAATCTTGGCATGTGTGAGTTAAGTTCCCATCAGGCGGTAAAATGGTCAGAGCAGTCTCCCATGAGCAGGACCTTAAGAAAGGACTGTCTCCAAAAACTAGACTAACAGCTGGTCCCTCCCCTCCTTCCCTTCCCCCTCTCTTCTCCTCTCCTCCCCTCTCCTCCCTTCCTCTCCTCCCGTCCTTAGCCTGCCAAAGGTGCATTCTCAGCTCCTGGCCAGGAGTGGGTGGAGGTGGTATCAGTACGCTTTGGATCTTCCCTTCCTGATTGTCTATCAGGTCGAGGACTGAAAAGAGGACCCCTTTCCTCCCCTTCTCTCCCCATCGCTCCCCCTTCCCCGCCCCCTCTCCATTCCAGTTATTCTAACATGTTCTGTCAACTGTTCATCTGAAGTTGAGGCCAAGGGCAGCAGCTTCACCACTAAGATTGTCTTCAGTCACCTCCTGACACCTTTTCTTTCTTCCTCAGCTGTTTGAAGGCTTGAAGGCCTTTCGAGGAGTCGATAACAAGATCCGATTGTTTCGGCCTGAACTCAACATGAAGAGAATGTGCCGGTCTGCTCTGCGGGCCACTTTGCCGGTATGCACATTGGTGTTCCCTTCTGTTTCATGAGTTGTTTTAGTCTTACATCAAAAACAAAACAAAAACCTTTCCTGAATAATTGCATCAGGTTTTCCACAAACTGTATGAATGCCGACTTTATCTATGCAATGCCCTTCAGTTAAAGGTCAGAGGAACCCTTGCAAGAGCCAATTCTCTCGACCACATGGGTTGATGGCAAGTGCCTTAACCTGCTGAGCCATCTTAAGGCATTTATTATACATTTTAATGTCTTTGTGTAGAGAGGAGAATTAAAACTTAGCCTAGGGGCAGTAAACCACTTGTCTGTGGTCACTCAGGAGGGTGAGAAAGCAGGCTGAGGTTTCTTTGATTTCCCAGTCAAGTATTCATGGCATCGATTAAACTTCATCTCTGGCCAGCTGCACCCAAGACTTGACTTGTTGACATGGGTTGCCAGTGTCGATGGTCACCCTAGTGTCTGGCACCCCTGCACTGTGATCATGGGTGAAGGTCAGCCCCTCAGCTAGTGTGTGGTGCTGCTCCACCTTGTGTAGCTCTTCATATCTCTGCAAGGGTCCCTCTCTGGCCTGTGGCCATGAGGAAACTGTTCGACCATTTTACAAAGCCTGTTTTGTAACCCATGGGTTAAGGGGACGTCCCCTGAGGGATCAGCTGCCCCTTGTCTTTCTGACCAGTGTTCAGGATGTCATAACATGCACTGGTGACATTCCACACTGGTGTTTCACAAGCAGCTTCTGGTCTTGAAAAACCAGGAGTCCTTAAATTTCAAACATGCAAATTTTATCTCTATTTTTTCTTTGTGGTTTGTGTTACGTTTTTCCTGGGTAAGAAGTTGTTTTGAGCCTTAAAGTTGCAGATATCATCTATTTTAAGAACAGAAGTCATGATGTTTTGTTATACTTGTTCATAATATCCAGTTATAATTGAGAATATAAGAGGCCACAGATGTCAATTTTTAAATAGAAGTCCTAATATTTTGTTAGATTTGAGCATAAAATCCAAGTATAATTGATTTAGGAGTATGAGGCCACAGACATCCATTTTAAAATTAAAATGTAATTTGTTATATTTGAATGTAAAACCTAATTATAACTGATGTGGAAGTGTGGTAGAGGGGTCTAATTTCTTTATCAAAAATCTCATTTGTTTGTTTGTTTAATGGGGGAAGGAGGCAGTGTGGAGCTCAGAAGACAGTTTTGCCTTCTCTCTACTCCGTGGGTTCTGGGGATCAACTCGGGTCATAGGCAGCGACAACACGTGCCTTTACATGCTGAGCCATCCGAGGCCTCAGGAGATCTGATTTTTTTTTATCTTTTCCTTATGAATAATTCACACTTACATAAATTTTCTATTTTGCCAAAGTGTCCACAGAATTTTTTTAAAGTGTTTGTTACAGATACCTTTTGTGGTGTTTCATATTGGGGAGAATGAATAGAAGCTGCTTGTTCAGGAGCCGACTGGGACTGTAAGATGGGAGCAGTCTTGGAAACGGAGTTTCTGTCGGCTCTCTGTTGAAGGTCTGCATTGGTGTCCTTGGTTAGCGTTCATTAGGGATTCTGTCTTTTCAGGTGTTTGACCAGGAGGAGCTTCTGGAATGCATTCGGCAGCTCATACAGATAGACCAAGAGTGGGTCCCCTATTCCACCTCTGCCAGTCTCTACATCCGCCCCACATTTATCGGGACTGAGGTAAACCTGACTCTATTTGGGGGGAAGGATTTTATGATTAAAAAGCCTTTCAAAAATTATGGTCTGCAGAGCGAGATCCAGGACAGGCACCAAAACTACACAGAGAAACCCTGTCTCGCAAACCCCCCCCCCCAAAAAAATTACCTATTTTGCGTATGTACACAAGTGAGCATGTGTGTGCCACTGTGTGTGTGTAGGTCAGAGACCGTCTTGGGAGCTGGTTCTGAAGGAATTCTTATGAGCAGAGGACACCACAAAGCCAAGTTGTCGGCACCAAGGAGATTTGTTTGCCCCAGAGAGACAGAGACAGGGAATAAAAGGCAAAGACTGGAGACAGAGGATGAGGGAGAAGGGGGAGGGATGTCCCAGGGGGTGGAATGGAGACCCAAAGGTCTGCCTCTGGATAGAGAGGAGACAGACATGGCCCATAGGCAAATGACAGTTTATAAAGGTACAGGGGAAACCTTGGGTTAGAATGAGGTGTTTGATAGGGCATGTTAATTGGGTGAGCCAAAGAGGGGCTTTTGCTCTAATACTTTTGATAGCTGGACCTTGGTAGTCAACCTCAGGAGGAGGAAGTGGCCAAATAAGGGAGTACACCTTGGTGGCTGGCTTTAGGAATGTGATCTAAGGGCTTTTTGGTAAGGCAGAGGGAAGAGGGAGAAGGACGCAGCCCGGGCCATGCTTGCTGCGTTCTGGCTGGCTAAAGTTCCCTCAGGTTCTCCCTTCTACTGTGTGGGTTCTGGGGATGGAATTGGGTACTTATGCTCGGCAGCAAGTGGCTTCCTCTTCACTGAGCTGTCTTGTGTGCCCCCAAGTGTCGTTTCCACGGCTGGAGACTGAAGCCGGGGATGAGCACTGTTGCTCAGCTTAGCCTCCGGCATGCTTCTTTCTTGAGCCTTCAGTATGTGGTTTGAGTGATGCCCCTCCCCCTGCACAAACACACTCTATCCCTCCCATCCCAGTCACCCTCCAGCTCCGTTCATCCTCCCAACTGTGAAGGCCGTCTTTCCTGTGAAAGATGAGATAGCAGATACTCTAGGTTTGCGGGGTGACGGGTTGCCACCATCAAGTTGGTAACTATAGGCAGTTCACTTAGGACTAACTGAAGGGAAGGCATGGTGATGTTTGCTCTCCCTTGATCAAGACTAGTCTGAGCTTGCAGGGGTGTGCCTCCCCCACGACAGACCTCTGGGTGTGGATGTGACCGTACTGTAGAAGTTATGGGAGAGGGCTTGGTTTTATTTTCATTTTCCTGAATCCTCAGCATCTCTTGGTAAAGAGTAGGAAGAGAGGATCCCAGTCCAAAGAACAGTTACTGAAAATGTAATTCATGAGGAGCCTTCGGGAGCTGGAAGGGAGGGACGGTTTGAACAACAAACAGGGTTGAGGGATGGGCCTAGCTTGTTGGCCAGTGTCCCTACCCCCTGAGCTGTCCTGCCAGTGCCACTCTTTATAAGATAAATGTATTGCAGATGGTTTCCCTGTCTGTTACTGGCATCTTTTGAGAAGCAAGCATTTAATTATTTTCAGATTCATTCATTTTAATTTATGCATGCTTCACCCACATGTATGTGTACATACCACATGTGTGCTTGGTGCCTCAGGAGGTCAGAAGAGAGCACTGGATCCTCTGGAACTGGATGGCTGTGAACCGCTATACGGGTGTTGGGATCCAAACCCAGGTCCTTTGTTTCTCTGTGTCGCCCTGGCTGTCCTGCACTTGCTCTGGAGACCAGGCTGGCCTTGAACTCCGAGTCGTTCTGCCTCTGCCTCCCAAGTGCTGGGAGTAAAAGCATGCGACATTACACCTGGCTCCCGAGGCTTGAGTTCCTGATCCTCCTGCAAGTGCTGGGGTAGCAGGCGTGGGATGACCCACCAGACTCAAACATTGACTTTTAGTATAAAGTTATCGTTTGCATTTTGTGGTTTCTGTGCTTTGTGTTTTGAAGGCTTCCTCTCTTGGTCATTCTTTTGTTCTAAAGTTTTTATTTCATTTAAACATCGTCCGTATGGATGCGGACTTTGTGCTGAAGAACTCGCTTTCTCCATGTAGACACCAAGTTGTCCAATCCATCCCCTGGCTGGCCTGCTTTTCCACATTGATTGCAGCGCCTGCTCACAGCACGGCAGGTTTCATTGAGGAAGTCGAGGGCTTTCTACCCACGTCTGCCCTTTAAGAATGAGAGTGCTGTTTCTGACGCTTGTGCCTTGCTCTGGACCTTCTTTCAGTGTTGGGCCCTTGTTCACCTGACCTGCTGGTCTCTGCTCCCTCACACACTCAGCTGTGGTTATTGGCCTCTCTGAAGATTCTTAACTGTAGAAGTTAGTGTGGGCTTGGCCTTTTGTTGACAAGACTTTCTCTGGGGAGATGCAGCACACGTCTACTTACCCCAGATAGGGAGCCCATGACAGACTGAAGTAAGGAGACCGTCAAAGTCCAACTTGGTGCACCAGTGAGTTTTATTGTTCTTTACAGGAATATGGGGGAGGGGTTGCTTACAGGGGCAGAAATGACCCAGAGACAGCTGCATCATCACCAAATCCCACCCCAGCACAGGTGACAGCTCACAAAAGCCGGGAGCCTGGAGCACAGCCTGCGGGCAGATTAAGAGGTTGGAGAATGTCCTTTCCAAGTCTGGTCTAAATCTCTTCTAAGCAGATGGGCTGTTTTTTGCTTCTTCCGGGCAGCTGGTCTGATCTGTTTACTTCGCAGCTTGTCTTGTCTGAGAGTCGTCTTTGTGGCTTAGCTTTCCTGAGAGGAACCCTCAGCTTTTATTGCTTATCCTGGCAGGGACCCGGCCTAGTGAATCTGGTCAGTCTCAGGGACCTCCTGAAGCTGTTTTGAGTTGTTTACCTAAAAGCTAAAGAAGCGTCCCTGACAGATGGGATGTTGGAGGAGACCGTTACACAGCACCTTACTTGTTCTTCACTGTATTTATCTTTGAGACAAGGTCTCATGTATTCCTGCTAGCTGAGAACGTACCTGCAATAGACCAGGTTGGCCTCAACACTGCCTTGATTGTATCGGGTGAGCCTTCCCAGTGCTGGCATTGCAGGTTTGAGCACAGTGCTTGCCAGCCCCCCGCCCTGCCTTTTTGAGGGTCAGGGTCTCACCCTCTCTCCCCGACCAACCTCAAACTTACGGTAAACCTCCTGCCTCTGCCTCCAGAGTGGGATTGCAAGCGTGCACCCCCACATCTGGCTCACCCCCACATCTGGCTCTGTGTTTGCTCTCTTCCTCCTGGCACAGTGCTTGAGCTGGTAGGTGGAGCGGCATCATCAGAGCTGTGAGGGGATCCTGCCTGAGGAGACTCCTAGTCCTGTGGACCACCTCTTGCTGCGCTCCGCCGCCCTGTAGCTCGGAGCAGGCCCCAGCAGCCCCATCTGTAACAGGCCAGACAGAAAATAAGTGGCTTTGGTTTTGTAGGCCACTCAGCTCTGCCCTGTCAGTAGAAAATGAGCAAGCACATCCCATCACACTGGAAAGGAAGGAGCAGGCTGACAGGCGGGAGCGAATGACATGTCCTTGGGTGATGTGCTGTGTTCCTCTCCTGACTATTTCCCAGAGTCCCTGTGCACTTGACCATGTGGGCATTTCTGCTTAGGACTGATTTTAAATTTACCAGCAGTGTATCTCAGGTCCTGCAATGACAGTCTGTCTTTTAAGTGCTCATTTTCACAGTTTCAACACTGAGTGTCGAGCTCTGGGACCATATTCCCCTGTCATTTATGCCACCTTGGCTTCATTTCCATGTGACCTGAGTGGCTGGGGGTGAGACCTTTATTCGGGAATGCAGGAGGCAGCTCTGCTCTGCAGGAGCCGAGGCTAGTGCCATGGGAGATGGAGGAGGAGGGCAAGGCGGAGGTCTTCCTGAATTCCAGGCTGCATCCTTGCACTCCGGGCTGTGTTGGGCTGGCATCTGTGAGGTGTCTTTAGCCCAGCAGTTGAGCCACAGAGGAAAAGGATGCTTATATAGAGATGTCAGGTTTCTTTGTCCTCCTCTGCTCACTCTGTGGGTCATTGTGGAGTCACTGTTCTCAGAAGTGACCTTCAGAGTCCCTGAAATGTAAGCCAGGATATTGTCACCTGAACCCACAGAGCTGAGCTATTATCTATGGCAAACCTGTGGGAGGTCACCAATGTATTGCTCAGCTGGGTGACCTTCAAATGTAGTGACTTTTGTATGAGACAAGGTCTCATGTATCTCAGATGGGCCTGAACTCACTATGTAGCTCAGGTTGGCCTTGACCGTACAGCGATCCTCCTGCCTCGGGCTCTCAAGGGTTTGGGATTACAGTTGCATGCCATGGTGCCTGCCTCTATACATTTTCTGTAAAGAATGTCTTACTAAGGTTCAGTTGTCTTTCTACAAATATTTGATAAAAACCTGGAGTAACAGGGCTGGAGAGATGGCTCAGTGGCTAAGAACTCTTGGCTCTTGCAGAGGACTTGAGTTTAGTTTCCAGCATCTATATGGTGGCTCACAACCATCTGTATTTCCATTTCCAGGGCATTGGAAGCCCTCTTCTGGCCTCTGCAGGGACCAGGCACACGCACAGTGCACTTACATACATGTAGGCAAACACGTGGAGTAAAATGCAATATGAAATGATCCTGCACTTTATGGAGTTCACTGGTTATCGAAACGAAAGAAATAGTAGATGTAAGATGACCGCAGGTTAGTCTACATTTGACAAGCAGGGTGCTGGAGTGGCAAGTACCAGGCTAGGGGCACTTGTTCCCTGAAATGACACCTACATGATGTATAAGATGGGGTTGAAGTGCTTAGACAGGGGCGAGATGTGTCTTAGCATGGTTGGTTACTTTGTCACAGAGAGTTAACTAACTATCTGGTTGCTGTGGATAAATACTGTGACCAAAAGCAGCTTGGGAAAGGAGTTTCTTTCAGGTTACCTAAGGCTCCTGGAAGAGAGTTCGTCAAGGCAAAGAAGGTATGGCAATGGGCAGAGAGAAACGGTGGGGGACAGGAAGTTGG